ACCGCTTCGTCTTGGTCTACTTAGACGACATCCTCGTCTATAGCCGAACTCTCGAGGAGCATCTCGAGCACCTTCGTCGTGTTCTAGAGACTCTTTGGTCAGCCCAGTACAAAGCTAACCGCGACAAATGTGAGTTTGTTCGGCAAGAGCTTGAATACTTGGGCCATTTTGTCTCTCCGGAAGGCATTCGTCCGTTGGCAGACAAGATTCAAGCCATCCAGGAGTGGCCCGAGCCGAAGAATGTGACGGACGTCCGATCCTTCCTCGGCTTGGCCGGTTATTATCAGCACTTCATCAAGGGTTACTCGAAGATCGCGSCCAACCTAAGCAAGTTACAAAGCGAGGAGCGGCCTTTTGACTTCGACGACGACGCGCGCCATTCTTTTGAGACACTCAAAGCGGCACTTTTGTCCGCCGAGGTGTTACATATTTACGATCCGCTTCTAGCTACGTGCGTCACTACCGATGCGTCGGGCTATGGCATTGGGGCCGTCCTTGAGCAGCACGATGGCACAGACTGGCACCCGGTCGAGTACTTTAGCAAGAAAGTGCCTCCCGTGCATTCGATCGACGACGCACGGAAGGAGCTCCTTGCCTTCGTCCACGCCCTCAAGCGTTGGCGACATTTCCTCCTTGGTCGGAAAGCATTCCGATGGGTAACGGATAACAATCCGTTGGTATTCTACAAGTGGCAAGACACGATTAACAGTACCATTGCCCATTGGATGGCTTTCATCGACCAGTTTGACTTTTCCCCGATCACATTCCCGGGAAGTCAAACCGTTTTGCGGACGCCCTCTCACGGCGACCGGATCTTTGCACCGCAGTCTACTCTACCTTCGAGATCGACGACGACTTGCGGGAGAGCTTCATCCGCGGCTATCAAGCCAACCCCCACTTTCGTGACAAGTACGCGAATTGCTCCTCTCCGAATCCGATGCCTTCGCATTATCGGATCCAAGAGGGCTACTTACTTGTGCATTCACGGGGTAAGGATCTTCTTTGTGTGTCGAGTGATTCACACTTGCGCACACGGCTTCTTGGCGAGTTTCACGATGCGCCCGCCTCCGAACATTTTGGTGTCAACCGTACACTTGGCCGACTTCGCCAGCGGTTCTATTGGCCTGACCTTCTCAAGGACGCCACCCGCTATTGTGAGTCGTGCGAAGTCTGTCGGCGTTGCAAGTCACGCAACCATCGTCCGTTCGGTGAGCTACACCCACTACCAGTGTCCCCTGGGCGACGGGAAGCAATTGCTATGGATATCACCGGCCCCTTCCTGAAGCACAAGACCGGCGTTGATGGGATCCTCACGGTCGTCGACCGCCTCACCAAGTACGCCATGTTTTTGCCTTGCCGCTATCACGCAAAGGCACCAGAGTTAGCCGAGGTCTTCTACACCGGTTGGATTCGCTCCAAGGGCTACCCCAAGGAGATCGTTTGCGACCGGGACACTCACTTTCTCTCCGACTTTTGGGTCGCCCTCGTCAAGCGATGGGGCTCATCTTTGAAGCCGAGTTCGGCTCGCCACCCGCAAACCGATGGTCAAACGGAAAGGGCGCATCAAACCGCCCAAATCCTTCTACGCACTTTCATCCGTCCCGACCAGGTTTATTGGGTTGAGCGCTTGCCAGACGTTGAGTTGGCTTACGACTCATCGATCCACCCGGATATCGGGATGTCGCCATTCGAGTTTGAGCATGGTTCACCCATCTCATTGCCGCTGGACGCCACTTTGTCGCGCACAGCCGAGAGCAACGACCATCTTGTGTTCCTTCGTCGCATGCAAGAGCTTCTTGTCAAGGCACGGGATCAGATGTCAAAGACGCAAATACGGATGAGTCGTCAAGCCAACCGCAATCGCCTTCCTTGCCCGTTCCGCGCCAGCGATCTGGTTTGGGTCTCTGCCACGGAGTTCAGCCTTGAGCAAGACATCTCTCGCAAGCTCCTTCCCAAGTGGATGGGGCCTTGGCACATTCTCTCTGCAGTTGGTGATGATCCCGAGGGGCCTTCATTCCGCATCGCGGTGCCACCTCACTTGCCCATCCACACGGTGTTCCACTGTTCCAAACTCGCTCCGTTTGTTTCAGCGGAGTCCGACGAGTTTCCCGGTCGACGTACGCAAGACCCTCCTTCCATGGACGGATTTCAGGAGGCCGGCTACATCATCACCGACCGGCCCCATGGCAACAAAGAAACAGAGTTTCTACTTCACTTTTCCTACTGCAGCCACAAGGCTGACCGTTGGCTGACGCGTTCGGAACTGCAGGCCACAGCCCCCACCGTTCTCTCACGCTATCTTAGCAAAGGGAAGACTACGCCAAGCTCTTCAGCTYCGCGCCATCCTCGCTACATTCCGCCATCGGATCGGCAGCTTCGCCCGCGCCCCGGCTCGTCTTCATAAGGAGGGGGGCGTGTTACATGCTGAGAGCCTACACACGGGCCCCTCACGGGACCCAAGGTTGGAATAGGGCCCCCAGGTCGCGTCACCGCAACCTGAAGGCCCTATGGCATTTTTACTTGGGCCTGCATCAGAAAAACGCCAGCTTTAGAATATTTTTATATTCTTTTATTTATTTAATTGCTGTTGTTTTTCTAACGTGTGTGCTGTTGTCCGTTTTGTGGCCAGGTACACGTTCTAGGGCCAGGACCTGATTCAGGCCCAGAGGCTGAGCCTCCAAAAACGTTTGGACCGTTTTTTTGTTTCCGGACAGATTTTGGACCATTCCGACCTGGACCGACRTTCAGGCCCGATGCATTCGCATAGGCCCTGAATCGGACCAGGTACCGAACAGGCCAGCCCTGGGCAGGGCCTGGACGTCCGGTAGGGACCCAGGCAGGCCGTTTTAGGCCAAGGGCTGAACCAGTTTCGAAACCTGCGATCTGGACCGTGGATCGGATTTCGATCTGCACGGTCCAGAACGCAGGCCGTGGGGTTTCAGTCCTGGCCCAGCGCTACTTAAGCTGGGCCGTTGCCCAGTTCGGACGGAAGGTACCAGGAGAAATCCAGCGTTATGCTGGTTCAGGAACTTGGCTGCTGCGCTATTTTGGAGACTCCCTGCTGCGCTATTTCGAGACTGCA